ACGTGACATGGGCTCTCTCTCTTCGATTCTCCAAATGGCGGACGCTTGTGTGGTTTGAACTCTTTAGCATAGCATTTTTCACTCAAAGCGTTTAATAAACAATCAGTAAACAAGTTCTCAGCTTCTTTTTGCATGGAAAAACAACTTTTTACACAAAAGCACGGGTTTCAACCGTGAATTTTGGAGCTTCGACAAGACGCAAGTTTTTTTCCCCTGGGGTCGCCCTGTTAGCTTAGCTTGTAGCTTAGCTTCTCAGCTTAGCTGCTTTTAATGATCCAAAAGTGTGATTTTGTACAGTTAAAACAGATTTTAAAGAAAAAAGAGAAAGGGAGGGGTCATTGAAGAGCACCGGAGTTGAGCCTTTTGTCGTTCAGTGTCTTTGGTAGAAAGAGAGAGACATGAAGAAACGATAAAGCCGATAAATGAAAATGAGGTTGATAATTTCCATTTATCATGCGATTGACTGATTTATTGTTATTGCAACAGGCCTAACTGAACCCCTCATTCCCTCCGATGTGTGTCCCATTGGTGTATGAATGTAATAAATCACAGATTATTCTTTGTAGCGATATACTGTAGTAGAGTGCTGTGTGAATGGGTAAATGAGGGCACAGATTGTAGTGTAAAGCGCTTTGAGTATCTTGATAAGATAGAAAGGCGATATATAAGTATGGTCTATTTACCATTTTTGGGACCTCCTGGATGAGCCATCAATGCACTCTTAGTCAGTTTGGATGGAAGGCTACTTACTCCAGGAAGGTTCACCACTGTTCCATATTTAGGTCCAGTTGGTTTGGAAAGATTTTTTTTTTCCTGTAAAATATTAAATGAACCCGCTTTATTCATGTTATATTTATTTAATATTAAATAATTCTAGCTGAACTGAAACATTTAAGTGTGACCAAAAGCAGAATCAAATCTGTAAGTGGGTGGTAAAGTGTTGAATCCACAGTGAAACTAGTGGCCAGCACGGTTTTCGTGAAGGTCGTTATCCTCAATATTTTAGAGATTTTAATGGTCATATTCTAAGGAGTTTTTAATTATGTTTTCATAATATGGAATTTCTAAATCAGTGGTTTCATAGGTTTGAAACCTAACTTTTTTTTTTTTTTAAAGGTCTTTTTTTGATTACATATTGAATGATTTAAGTATTTAAAATATTAGGTTTCAATGATGATTGCAAGTTTGTTTAAATCTGTCTGTTTTTACACATGATGTATATAACAGGGCTGTAAGTGCCAAACTGATTGAGTGCTTAGGGAAAAGCATTTTCTGAAGGTTGTATCCTGTTTTTTTCTCCTTGTATATTGAACAGATTTGTATCCGTGAGGCTGAGAAGCCTCAGGGCATTTTTGTAGGTTCCCAAGAACACAATAAGTCTGCTCTAATAACTAAAAGGTCCCTCGGGAAGTCTGTTTAACCTTCAAACCCACACACTAATTACTCTGTGTGTTCTGTGAGTCTACAGAGACGAGTGGAAGCTAATGAGGGACCACCTATGCTCTCAGGGCAAACTGGGCGCTGAACGCTGTGATGGAGATATGTGAGTGGGCTGAAGGCAGCAGCTCGTCTGCTCCTTCCTGGTCACATCTCTGGAAAACAAAATTATGCTGCTGTGTCAGCGCATGTCATAAAAATGCGATATAAAACGCAACTTCCATTTTTATTTTTTTATTTATCTCCATCAAGTAGAAATGAATTAGATGAATGAATAAAGATGACAATTTGCAATCGAGTATAACCCAGTACATTTACCTTTGCAGTAACAAATTTTAGCTGATTTTTGATGAAGAAAGATTTTTTTGTTTGTGGGGAATTCTGAAGTCATAGTCCTCAGTCGCAAAAGGTGGATTGCCCTTTTCCGGTTGGAGGTGAGGCACTTCCTCAAGTGGATGAGTTCAAGTATCACCAGATTTTGATCACAAGTGAGGGAAGAATGGAGCATGAGAAGGACAAGCAGACAGTGCAGCTTCCACAGTTTTTGCATACTCTGTTCTGGTCCATTATAGTGAATAGGGGTTAAGCTGCAAGGAGAAGCTCTCTGTTTACCGTTCAGTCTACGTTCCTACCCTCACCTATGGCCATGAACTCTGGGTAGAGTGAAAGAACGAGATCACGGATACAACGGGGGAAATGATTTGTCTGTAGGGTAGCTGGACTCTCTCTTATAGATGGGGTGAGAAGTTTAGTTCTCTGGGAGAAGATTCTGAGTAGAGCCTCTGCACTTCCACACTGAGAGGAACCAGTTGAGGTGGTTTAGGCATCTCGTAAAGATGCCCCCTGGCCACCGCCCTAGGAAGGTTTTCCAGGCATTTTCCTGGGGAAGACCCAGGACATGCTGGAGAGACTGTCTCAGCTGGCCTGGGAGTGCTTTGGAAATAGCTGGAGGAGGTGGAAAGAGGGATCTGGGGCATCACTGCTCAAGCTGTTGCTCCCAAGACCTGAGTCCTGGGGTAGCTGTGGCTGAGTGGGTTAGAGCAGTTGATCTCTAATGGGAGAGTTGGGGATTCCATTCAATTCAATTCAATTCAATTCAAAAATACTTTATCAATCCCAAAGGGAAATTATTTGTTGTAACTCATTATCCTCATTTCATTAAGAGATGTTATAGATGCTGATGGCTGTAGGCAGGAAGGATCTCTTGTAAAGATCCATCCCACAGTGGATCCTAAGAAACTGGCTGCAGATGCCGTCCGATCCATCCACCCAGACTCGGCTGGCCTCTCTGTTCCCCTGGGCTGTAGGACCGCCTGAATGCCGGGCAGAACTCCTCCCAGAGTGATGACCACTCCTCCCAACAGTTTGCCGAGCTCCTCATAGCTGCGGATAGCCAACTGTAGGTGCTGAGGGACGATCCTGTCCATCCACTGTCGTGAGCCGTGTTTCCTTCTAGTTCCAGGATCTCAGTGATCAGACACTCGAGCACAGCCGGCAGGTAGATGAGAATGCGTCCACAGAACATCCTTTTCAACTCATTTGAGAGTTGGAGCCATAGTTGAGATATTATTTGAGCTTTTGAGATGTCAATCAGCTGCTGTTGTTGTAGAAAACTGCCTTGTTGCCATGGTTACGCATCATAACAAACGTCCAAGACCAAAAAAAGTCTCGGTAAAAATCCTTACGGCTGCACAGCATCCGATAACAGAGGAAACAATAATCCAAAAAATGTGATTTACATCCAGAAAAAGAGGAATTAAAGTTTCCAAAAGCAAAATCTCAGAATGAAAGTAACAGAGCTGCTCCAACATGCAGCCACCTTGAGCGGCGCAATTCTAGAACCTCCACCAGCAGTCACATGGTGAAGTGTCCCTGCGCAAGATACTGAACCTTGCTTCTGATATGTGTCTCATTGGTGTATGAATATGATCTAAAGCACTGATTAGCCTCTATAGAATGAATTATTTGATTAGCTTGTAAAGATGTAATAGAGTGCTGTGTGTGTGTGGAGGTAAACGAGGGCACAGATTTTGTTGTAAAGGGCTTTGAGTGTCTTGATTGGATAGAAAGGTGCTATACAAGTAGTCCATTTACAATTTACCATTTCCTGAAAAATGGGGCATAACATGGATGGATGGATGGGATTTTTGGTTATGTAAAACAGTTAAGGCTTTAAATATTCTAATGGTAATCATTAGTATTTTGTTGTAAAGGGTGTTCAATGTTTTATGTTATGAGTGCTTAGTGTATATTTAGTTGATGTTTTTCTTAGTTCATATCTTAGATGTTATTACTGTTTTTCTTAGACATTTTATTGTTGGATGTAACTGGGACCCCGTGTACATAATTTCGCTCCACCACATGCACCACATGAGGTGCGAACGACAATAAAGAAACTCTGACTCTGACTCTCTGAGTATTTAACCTCAACCTTAGATTTTTTTTCTCAATAGTTTCTATTTTTCTTTTATACTGAATAAAGTATAAATATGGTCATATGATATGATGATATGGAAGTTTTAGACAGACTTAAAGGCCAAGCATTCTTTCAAAGAGTGTATATTAACTTTAATGCCAGAGGTATTTAGGTCAAACCTTGAAAATAATTTTACATGCAATTTCATGCAATATTGCTTTATCTCATTTGATAGTGCTTAGAGTATATGTTATATGTGCATTCTTGTCAGCTACTACCACACTAGATTTTACCATGAGATTCCAAGAAAATACCACAAATTTCAACGAGTTATATCCATTTTTGTGTACTTTAAGTTTCTCTAACTGTGGTCACCATCTTGAATTGGGTTTACTCAAAAAGGTATTCAGTGAACATTCAATGATTACTTTCTAAGAGTTTAATCAAAATCCATACAGTGGTTTATGACCCAAGTTAACAGACAGTGTTGACTGTAATATACTCTTGGTTGCATACAATAACAAAAAACTCAAGAACTGACAGCTGTATAGAATATATTTCACATAATTATGGTATCGCATAACTTGGACAGTGTGGCACATTTCATTTCTTCTTTTTTTTCCAGAGTAGCATCTTAATGCTTTTATTTTTTCTAGTTATCTTTAAGGCAAATGCAGCACATAATGTTAGAAAATGAACAGATTATCTTCATAAATGAACATGTTAACATAAAAGAAATCTGACTGTAAGAAGTTTTCTCTGGGTCATTGTGACCAAGTCACTAATAATCATATCTGTTATATTTGCAATTTTCAATTTGCAATCATTCTTCCATTTACTTTTTTCCCTTAAAACTTTTTTCTTTTTACCAGTCACTACTTTGTTACAGTAATGTATGATGCAGCACAACTTTGTGTTGAAGATGTTAGCACCTACACTTTAATCTTTGAACAAGTTTGTAGGACGATACTGATCTTGTTAAATGATCAAAATAAATATGCAGTAAATGTTGAAAACAAATCAACTTAACACAAAGAACAGCTGATGATCTACATATTGTGTGATGAGAACTTTAAACGTCAAATAATCAAACTGGGAATCTCATGTTTTGTTTCCCTTCTCCTATTTGTCATTTTCTGTCCTGCAGCTTTCAGAGTTATTTGTTTTATTTGAGGAGAAGCCTCACGGTGCAGCATCTTTAGCACAGGTCCACAAAGCAGTGTTGCATGATGGGAAGACTGTAGCTGTCAAGGTCCAGCACCCCAAAGTCCAGAGACAAAGCTCCAAAGACATAATGGTGATGGAGGTAAGTCTGTTCCTGCTCAGACATTCGTGTTTCAATGGGTCACTCATTTCAGCTCAAAACTGTAGAACCATGAGACAATCATCATCTTTACATCTTTTTAGTATTCATCGCATGAGCCTCCACTTTATTTATATTCAGTCTCGCTATGTCTGAGACAGTTCCTGTCTATTCATGCATTGAATTTAAAACAAACTACCTTTATAGAGGGGAAAAAAATATGCTGAAACATTTTGTATAAGCATGTTTACCTCACTTCTGACTCAGAATATTGTTAAAACAAGTTTTCTATCTTTAAACAGCTTCTCCTTCCTTCAATGGAAAAATAAGTTATCTATACTGAACAAGAATATAAATGCAACACTTTCTGTTCCTGTTTTTCATGAGCTGAACTCAAAGATCTGAGGCTTTTTATATATACACAATAGGTCTTTTTCACTCAGATATTCACAAATTTGTATAAAATCCGTGTTAATAAGCAGTTCTCCTTTGCCAAGAGAATCCATCCATCCACCTCACAGGTGTGGCATATCAAGATGCTAATTTGACAGAATGATTATTGCACAGGTGTGCCTTAGGCTGCCCACAATAAAAGGCTACTCTAAAATGTACAGTTTCATCACGCAGCGCAATTTCACAGATGTCGCAAGTTTTGAGGGAGTGTACAATTAGCATGCTGAATTCAGGAATGTCTACTAGAGCTGTTGCCTGTGAATTGAATGCTCGTTTCTCTACCAAAGGCTGTCTCCAAAGACGTTTCAGAGAATTTGGTAGTATATCCAACCAGCCTTGCATACCGTGTGTAACCACACCAGCCCAGGTCCTCCACAGTGGGCAGCTGTGGCTGAGTGGTTAGAGCAGTCGTCCTTCAATTCAAGAGTTGGGGGTTCGAATCCACCAGAAGTCACATGCCGAAGTGTCCCTGGGCAAGACACTGAACCCCTCATTGCCTCCGATGTGTGTCCCATCAGTGTATGAATGTGATAAAGCTCTGATAAGTCTCTTTAGAATGATTTGTTCAATTAGCTTTGTAGAGATCTAGTAGAGTGCTGTATGAATGGGTAAATGAGCACACAGATTGTAGTGTAAAGCGCTGTGAGTGTCTTGATAAGATGGAAAAGTGCTATATAAGTACAGTCCATTTACATCCAGCATCTTCACCTCCAAGATCGTCTGAGACTAGCTACCCATACAGTTGCTGCATCAATTGGTTTGCATAACCAAAGAATTCCTGCACAAACTGTCTCATGAAAGCTCATCTGCATGCTCATCGTCCTCATCGAGGTCTCCACCTGACTGCAGGTTCATCATTGTATCCGAATTGAGTGGACAAATGCACACATTTGATGGCTTATGGCACACTGGAGAGGTGTTCCATTCACGGACGAATCCTAGTTTCCACTGTACAGGGCAAAGTGGCAGACTGCGTGTATGGTGTCATGTGGGTGAACAGTTTGCTGATGTCAGTGTTGGAAATCAAGTGGCCTATGGTGGTGGTGGGGTTATGGAATTGGTAGGCATATGTTATGGACAAGTACTTACTCTCTATGCCATAAGTTGGAACCAGATCAAGAGTGTGATGATGTGAATGAGTAGATGTGTGGACATTTGAGTAAAACCAATTGACTATTAAATTATTTAAAGGCTATGCTTGAGTTATCACTTTCAACATCTACATGAATATTGGAATCACCCATTATTATGACTTTAACAGTATTCAATAATAAGCCAGACAGAAAATCTGAGAATTCAGACAAAAACAGACTAAGGGCCTTGTGGATGACCTATAACATGTAAAAGTGGCTTTTCTGGTTTCCATTTTGATGAGAAAGACCGATGGACAACAACAACAACAAACAAAAAACAACTGATAATTGGTTATGCATTAATCAATAATCCTGATTGAAAAATAGAAGCTACTCCTCCACCTCAACTTTGTTCTAGGAACATGAGAATTTAAATATTTAGCAGGAGTGGTTTAATTTATACTAACAAAATCCACCTGTTGTAGCCAGGTTTCTGTCAGACAGAATAAATCAATATTATGATCAGTTATTAGATCGTTAACTAATAGGGATTTAGAGGAAAGAGATCTGTTGTTCAATAATCCACATTTAATTATTTTATTATTTTGTTCTGGTAAAGTAACTTTTTATTGTATTATGATTTTATGATTTTTTTTTTTTCTAGAGTTGATTTTTGGTTGATTTGATTTGGGCTGTGGACGAGCTGGCACTGTTTCAAATAGGTTTTGGGTGAATAACAGATAACAGAGAAGCAGCAGAGAGGTGTGGAGGACTACAGCTCTGCTTCCTGCACTGGAAGCATCTTGATATTGCACTTCTATAGGGGGAATGGATTATTTTGGCAAAGATGAAGTACTCGCTAACAATGATTCACACAAATCTGTGCACAATATTTGAGAGAAAAAAAAGGCTTATTGTGTACAGAAAAAGTCTTAAAGTTCAGTTCATGAAAAATGGGAGCAAAAACCAAAGTGTTGCATTTATATTTTTATTCAATGTATTAACTGTCTATTATTAAGCCACGAGTTTCTGGGCTTTTATGGAGTTATCCAAAGATTTTTTTCTTCCCATTTAGTTTCTTTGGTCCCAGAAAATAAGTCAAAACGTATATTTTTCTTATTTTGTTACATAAAGTTTATTCGACTAAGAGCCCTATCAAATTTGGTAGGGATGCACGATCTTATCGGCATGGTATTGGTATCGGCCAATATTAGCGTTAAAATTAAATATCAGACATCGGCCAGTCCATCAAAATAAATCACCAATATAAAAGGAGCTGTTTTTGTATGACAACCCAGTGACGAGGATGCCTGCAGAGCCAGCACAACGTGATGATGTCATGTTCGCTTACCTGATCTGATCACAGTGGAGAGAAAGATGTCAAAATGTCGGCGGTGTGGAAGGTTTTTTTTTCGTTGAGGATGTTGGATTCCAAAGATTTTTGAACTAAGTTGAGCCTCGTTACATCGTCCCAAGTCGGAGATATTTTTTTGACGTAGCCCTACCCAAGCTACAAGCCGTCATTTCCGACGTCAACGAGAAGCTAATAGCCGATAGCACTTGGCTGAGTTTTACCACAGACATTTGGACGTCAAGTGTTAGCCTCGTTAGCATGATTAGTCTTACAGCACAACAGACAGACAAAAACTTTGAACTTAAAAGGCTGTCCTTCTGGCACAAGAGTGCAGAGGATCCCCACACTGCAGCTAGAAACCTGGAACAAGCCTCCTCAAGTGAGACAGCATCGCAGGTGACTAATGCTAATAAATAACATTTAACATTTTCATTTAATATAAGTTAAAGTGCTATGCATGTCATATGGCTTTTACAGAATATATGTCACCAGCTCTTACAGCTGTCACACAATTTTTGTAGCAAATAAGCCTAAACAAGAGGGCTATGTTCTGACAAAGGAACGTATATAAAAAATATTATCAGTTATTAGTTAAATAAGTTTTAACATATCTGCATATCAAATATAGGCCAAAAATCCAATATCGTGCATCCCTAACATTTGGTCTCAATAGAAAGAGCTACGGTAATTCTTTAATCTGTAAATTAAAAAAAAAAAGTTAGACTTCTGCTGTCTTGTTAAAAGAATGACATTTTTTAGACTCTTTAGCTGGAAAAAGCAAGACTAAATAACATGTTTGATCTCTGAATCTAAACTAGAGTTCTGCAGCATAACTAATATTAATTCAAAAGGCTGCCAATATCATCAGGACTAAAAATTGAGGACAACAATATATAAACAATAAACTTAACTACAATTTTGGCTATTCGAGATTTAGTGTCCACAAAGAAGCGTTTTGCAACACTGCTGAGATGTGTGAGTTTTACTGACACCTAAAGTGTCGTCTGCATAGAAATGTACATTAAGGTCAATAAAATTTACTAAAGCTCTAAATAATGTGTGCTGTGCATATCTGAATCATTCAGTTTGACGTGTTTTCCTTACTAGGTTTTGGTGAAAGCAGTTCATTGGCTCTTCCCAGACTTTGCCTTCATGTGGTTGGTAGAGGAGTCCAAGAAAAACATGCCACTGGAACTGGACTTTCTTAATGAGGGACACAATGCTGAAAAGGTGGCCAACATGCTGTCTCACTTCCCTTTTCTCAAGGTACACACATTTAATGTGACATTTCTTTACAGAGGTGGGGTTTTTCATCAAATTTTATGTAGACCCACTGTTAACTTGCAAATGTCTGGTTTTATTTTAATACATTCTGTCTCAAGTTAAGGTCTCAGTATTCGAAATGTTCCTGCATACAGTTAATTGAGGTCAGAGTCTTCATCTGTGTCTGAGCTCCTCCTTTGTGCTGCTCGTCAGCTCCTCTGCATTCTAACAAAGCAGCGTTTGCAGAATCATATTTCCAGTGCTCGATAGAGTTGGACTTCATGTCCATTATCATTTAATTTCCTGGTGTCCTTTCTCTTAATATGTCTGTTTGAGAGCTTTTATTAGCTTTGCTGAATGTGAATTAGACTCTCTGTCTTTGTTCAGTTTTTAAATCCAAAGAGCTGCTTTTTTGAAATTATATTCTGTAAGTTTTAATTGTATAACTTGACATTTCACAGATTGAACACTTCAAAATGAGTTTTAATTTTGTGTAAATGTCTTTGAACACATTAACATTCCAGTTGGTCTCAGTGGAATGTGAAATTATAAAACAGGTGAAGTGACGTTTCTAAATATTATATTTGCTCTTCCACTATTTTAAAAGTATTTAGTGACGTTAAATGCAACATTTTTGAGTCACATTCTGCTTTCTCTTCAGGTTCCCATGATTCACTGGGATCTTTCCACAAAGAGGATCCTAACCATGGATTTTGTAGAAGGGGGGCAGGTCAACGACCGAGAATACATGAAGAAACACGACATCAACGTCAATGAGGTGCAACAGTTTGAATTCATCAGTGATAGTTAAAAATGAAACCACTCTCCAGGCTCCATCACATATGGACTGTCTGAGCCAGAACCAGTTTTTTTATTTTTTATTTGGTTGTCACATCCCTAGTTTCGAGTTGACTGCCAGATCCACCAGAGAGCGATATAAACACTAGTAGTTTTTTTTTTTTTTTTTACATGTCAATAAAACTGACAGAATTTCAGTTTTGTGTGTATAAAAACAGACAGAAATAGAAGAGATACTCATTAGGTACAAATGTCAAGTGTTCTACACCATCTGATGGATGATGGAGACAATAATAAACACTCAGAGGATGGGAGGAGTTTTAAAGTGTCACTGTTTCATGCTGGTTACCGTTTGTCAGTGGAGTCAGAAGATTTATGAAGGTTCAAATGAGTTTCTCCACTGAAATCGACTGCTTGATGTGATCGGAATGAGGCAGTGCTTCCTGGGATTTGTTAGTACTTCCACATGTTGGCATGATTTGAGATCTGACTGAACAGAGATTTCCTAAAATTCAGTAGAAAATTAAAGTTGTGTGTGTTCGTGTGTTCATAAGTTCATACCATGAGCAAAATATAACAACCTCTGAATGAATTTTAAAGAAACTTTTAGAAAGTAAGCATTGGTCTGATATCTATACCTGATTAACTTTTGGCGTCAATTCCATTCAAGATGGTCACGAGCTTTTGGATGAAGGACGAAACGTCTCAACAATAAAATAAACCATCCCGATGACCTGACTGAATTTTGTTGTCTATAATTAAGTCAGTTTTGCAGCTTTTGTGCTAAAATTCAGTGTGGTAGCGCACAAAATGCGTGCATTTACAAAAAAATAAAATATATATATATATATATATATATATATATATATACATGCACCAATGAATACATTTTAATGAAACTTTGAAAGAGTAATCATGTCCATCTACAGTTTGAACTCAACCCAATTTAAAATGGCTCTTTTGTAGAATCAGAATCGGGGATTACACTTAATTATTTTGTAGAAGTTTGAAAAATTAAAAGCAACTCTTTCCCTAATCTTGAATGTTTGAAGCATGCATAATGCTCACTGATGCTTTTGTAGATTTTATCCTTTTTTTTTATTCAACCTGTATACAGAAAATCTGCAGTGGAAATGTAGTGGCACCACTTTTACCAGTTTTTGACTGGTCAGATTATATGTTATTAATTATGCCACAACTGCGTCAATTGGACTTTTCACTTTTTAATCCACTGCTGGTTGTCCTTCCAGATCCAAAATGTTTTTGTTGGTTTCATTTTCAATAGATAACTGATTGTAGAAGGTGTTTGGTGAGATCGTGGTAATTAAAGGAGTCATCCTAAAATAATTTGTTAACAAGACGGCTCAGTTTTCCCTGAAATTCTTGATTTTATTTATCGGTTTACTCTTAAAGTGACATTCCTCGTTGATGTTCCCAACAGATCTCAGAGAATCTCGGTAAAATGTACAGCGAAATGATCTTCGTCCATGGCTTCGTCCACTGCGACCCACACCCAGGCAACGTTCTGGTTCGAAAGTGTCCCCGGAGCCAGAAGACGGAGATCCTTCTCCTCGATCACGGCCTGTATCAGGTGGGGAAATCTCCCACAACAAAACACTATTTGCTGTAATATTGCAGTCCATTTTTCATGCTGCCGGCTCAGGCCTTGGGCAAATTGGTGGAGCAGCAAACACACAAGCAGGACACACATAAAAACCCAAAGATCACGCACAACCTCAAAGACAGACACACATTTTTATTAGAGTACAGGAGGATAAAAGCTTTTTCATAAACAACTCATTTGATGTTGTTTTTAACAGAGTGCAGAGTGCTACGTTTGAATGCACCACAGCCTAATCAGACAGGGGCACACGTGCACGCTCATGTTCCCCTCCACACACACACAGACACACTGAATGTCAACACAATTCCACTTACAAACACCCACCAGCTGATACACACAGCTTTGACATGACTTTGTTTGCAGCTTCTTGTATTCATGAGAGATTTTAGTTATAAATATGCAGCAACATCGTCTGACACACAACCTGCAACACACACGCACAAGCACACACTTTCCTTGGACATTAATGGGTCCAATTTATTCCTAATGACTTGTGATTTCAGATGTCATTTTGGAGTAGAATATTAATCCATTTGTCCACACACACACACACACACACACACTGTTTTAAGTGTCATTACGAGTATGGAACAGTACATTATGTGTGTGTGTGTGTTTAATGTGCTGTAGTTCGTCTGGAGCTGGGAGAGCTCTCTCCGCTGTGTGACTAAATGTCTCTGAAGTTCAAGTCGCTTTTAGAAAAAAGATAGATTAATTTAAATTCAAATTTACTGTTGAATGAGAAGTTAATGCAAAGTGAGGGAACATTGGAACTTAATTATTTCAACACGTTTCATTATGATTGTGAAACACTGAGGATTCGTGGCAAAAACAAAGACAGGGTCATCTCTCAACAGATGTAAAAATTGAAAATGATCATGTTTAGATGTACAAGTGCTGGTCATAAAATTAGAATATCATGAAAAAGTTCATTTATTTCAGTAGGTCCATTCAAAAAGTGAAACTTGTATATTATATTCATTCATTACACTCAGACTGATATATTTAAAATGTTTATTTCTTTGAATGTTGATGATTACAACTGACAACTAATGAAAACCCCAAATTCAGTATCTCAGAAAATGAGAATATTACTTAAGTCCAATTTAAAAAAAAAAAAAAAAAAAAAAAAAAAGATTTTTAGAAATGTTGGCCAACTGAAAAGTATAAGCATGAAAAGTATGAGCATGTGCAGCACTCAATACTTAGTTGGGGCTCCTTTTTCCTGGATTACTGCAGCAATGCGTTGTGGCATGGAGTCGATCAGTCTGTGGCACTGCTCAGGTGTTATGAGAGCCCAGCTTGCTCTGATAGTGGCCTTCAGCTCTTCTGAATTGTTGTGTCGGGCGTATCGCATCTTCCTCTTCACAATATCCCATAGATTTTCTATGGGGTTAAGGTCAAGCAAGTTTTCTGGCCAATTAAGAACAGGGATACTATGGTCCTTAAACCAGGCACTGGTAACTTTGGCACTGTGTGCAGGTGCCAAGTCCTGTTGGAAAATGAAATCTGCATCTCCATAAAGTTGGTCATCAGCAGGAAGCATGAAGTCCTCTAAAACTTACTGGTAGACGGCTGCATTGACCTTGAACCTCAGAAAAAACTGTGGGCCAACACCAGCAGATAACATGGCATCCCAAACCATCACTGACTGTGGAAACTTGACACTGGACCTCAAGCAACGTGGATTCTGTGCCTCTCCTCTCTTCCTCCAGACCCCAGGACCTTGATTTCCTGAGGAAATGCAAAATTTACTTTCATCAGAGAACATAACTTTGGACCACTCAACAGCAGTCCAGTCCTTTTTGTCTTTAGCCCAGGCGAGATGCTTCTGATTCTGTCTAGTGACTTGACACAAGGAATGCAACAGCTGAAACCCATGTCTTGCATATGTCTATGTGTGGTGGTTCTTGAAGCACTGACTCCAGCTGCAGTCCACTATTTGTGAATCTCCCACACATTTTGGAATGGGTTTTATTTCACCATACTCTCCAGGGTGCGGTTATCCCTATTGCTTGTACACTTTTTTCCTACCACATTGTTTCCTTCCCTTTGCCTCTCTATTAATGTGCTTGGACACAGAGCTTTGTGAACAGCCAGTCTCTTTAGCAATGACCTTTTGTGTCTTGCCCTCCTTGTGCGAGGTGTCAATGATCGTCTTTTGGACAACTGTCAAGTCAGCAGTCTTCCCCATGATTGTGTAGCCTACAGAACTAGAATGAGAGACCATTTAAAGGCCTTTGCAGGTGTTTTGAGTTAATTAGCTGATTAGAGTGTGGCACCAGGTTCTTCAATATTGAACCTTTTCACAATATTCTGATTTTCTGAGATACTGAATTTGGGGTTTTCATTAGTTGTCAGTTATAATCATCAACTTTAAAAGAAATAAATATTTGAAATATATCAGTCTGTGTGGAATGAATACATATAATATACAAGTTTCACTTTTTGAATGGAATTACTGAAATAAATCAACTTTTTCATGATATTCTAATTTTATGACCAGCAACTGTAAGTCTACCCAGATAAATCCACAGCAGACAAAATATTGACTCCATATTCTGTTCAACTTGTTCATGTCTGGAATGTGTTTGCCTCAAGCTGGAAAGGTAAAGACACCTATGTTTGAAATCTTCCTTCCAGGCCTTGCAGCCAGATTTCAGGATGAACTACTGTCGTCTGTGGATGTCTCTGATTAACGGGGACCTATCTGGGGTGGAGCGCTACAGTCGCAGACTTGGAGCTGGAGATCTGTACCCCCTGTTTGCTTGTATGCTGACTGCTCGCTCCTGGAACTCAGTGAATGCTGGCATCAGTTCTGTTCCAGTTACGCATGCCGAGGTATAATACACAACCAGCACGTTTTCTTTACGTTGTTGTACACCTGTCAAAAGTGGGACGTATTATAGTATAATCTACACCTGGCATACATACGAAGACTTTCTCTTGTACCCCACATAATTTCTGATGCACTCAAGATAATTTAACGACACTTGAAACACTTATGCATCATCACTAAACAGAGTGTTGTGTACACTTGTCATCACCACAGCTCCAAGGTCAAGGCCCCAACTCAAGGTCAAAGTTAAAACAAGGTCTTTGCTTGCTCAGCCCATTGATATAGATTGCTGTACAATAGTTTGTCAGCAAGTGTATTACCAGTAAGTGCTGAATGCGGTACTCTTGTTGTAAAATGTCATGAGATTGAGCAACAATGAAATAAAGTCCTTTTGCAGGTAATCCAGGTAGATAAATCTAACAACGTTGAGTCAAGTCTGAATGAAAAAGTCTTTTGGATAAAAGACGTAATGTTTCAACAAAGAATAATTCGTCCAGAGGACCGGACTCAACCTTGTTAGAATGGAATACAGACTCAAAATAAAGCACCAGGATTCCCTAATGGAGTGCATAATGTCTGCTGCCTTACATCCCAGTGTTTTAAACTAAGATCTTTTGAGAAATGGTAGATGTAGCCATTTTGGTTAATTAAACATTGAAAACAACAATATGCAAAATCTCATCCAATATGGCGATATCTGTGTGATCTTGCATGATCTGCTAGTAAATAAAGTATGTGTTATAAATGAGTTTGTTACTCCAATTCCTAATTTTATCACAATGCCTTTCAAATATACTGAGGTAAAGCTGTTTTTTTGTTTGTTTGCCTCAAAACAATGAGTTGCAGTTGCTTCAACGCTGGGCAAGATAAAATATTTTTATGGAATAAAACGTACCCACAGAGTTAAACAATAGCTCTTTCAAACCTTGTGGAAATTATCAATATTTTTGTCTTGATGCATCGTGCATTCATTATTCTGGTTTCCCTAAAACACATATTTCCTTTCAGAGTTTTTTTTTAATGTTCTGTTTTCACCACCTGTGAGGGGGTGACACACTATAAGCAGACGGTTCTGTGGTACTTCTGCCAGCTTCAAAGTGTTGCATAAGAAACGTATAAATAACCTCCCCTACGGACAGATGGTGTTGTACAACCCCTGAGGGGACGTAGGGAAACACGGACCAGGACAAACTCTCAGGGGGAAACTTTGCACCAATGCAGTCACCTAGAGAATGTTTGTGTTGCTGATTCCTTGTCAGGTCTGTGGCTTTTAACATCAGACCCTACAGAGTAATAAGCTGCCTGCAGGGAGTTACAACATTCATGAAGGTTTAATTTGTTCAACCACAGTGCTGTTAAAAATCAATCGTGACAGTTTCTTGCTAAAAAAGGCAGATGAGGAACAGACCAAGATGCTAACAGAGCTACACTTTTTAGTTAGAGAGGAGAAAATTTGATAAATAATGACCACAAACTTATGGTAAGTAACTTAGTTACAGTAGCAAACAATTCAGTTGGGAATATTAATGTGACAAATACCATTAGCAGAGGTTTAAGCTAGTAGTATAGTAGTTAAACTACTGCTTAAATATTCCTGATCACTTGAACTTAAGGTTATTACATTTAATAAGTTTTAACAAGATGAACCAACATGATTCTTAACCCATTTTTATTGTTTAAGAGCTTCAGTGAATTAAACTTCGTGCTGTCAAAGGACTAGTTTATTAAATAAAATATACCTTCTTAGTTTTTTGTTACCAAATTAACTAATTAAATAAAAAAAGTAAAAAATATTGGTTTAATGATTGATGGATTTAATCCGTCCACATAAGGACTGTTTTTGTGAATATCTACAGAAGTTTTTTATTGTTTCGGCCTTGTATCTGCACAGAAACAGTGTTTTCGTGGCCCCTTTACTGTATATTTTGAAAATGTTTTCCAAAATGAAAACGACAATATTGAAACCCCGCCCTTCCATTTATGTGTAGGGAGCCAAAACTGAGCCGCCTTAAATTCATGATGTCACAGACTCATGTCGGTCACCTACAACCCAAAGCATGACTGACGCTTCAACAGTGACAATAACAACAGATTAAGTGCTTGTGTTTGTGCTGCAGACACTAATAAGCTTCAAAGACAATATGCTTTAAATAAAACAGAGTAGAGCTTTATTTTTACAACTAACAACCTAAGGCCAATTTTTTTTTTTTTTTTTTCACTTTATTGAGCTGTCAACAGTAAAACAAACTGCAGGAAAACTACACATGCATTATAAAACATGAAAAATGGGAATAGTTTTAAAAGACTGACACTTGTGTATAAAGAATTTACACTCAAATGGTTTGATCATTGTGAAAACCCTTTCCTCCAGTTGACCCCTGCTGGATGCGGGACCTAAGAAGTGCTCATTAAGTCTGTGTATTTGGACTTGTACTGCTACTCACTGGTGGGCTTGTAGATTAATGTGATAAAAAGTAAACTCAATCAATTTCAGGTTCCTGCCAGGAACAGGAACAGGTTTTGCCATCTTTGCATTTTCCTTTTGTTGGGTTTACAGTTAGTGTTTATGATTTCTGTTTTGGGTGTATTTTCACAGCAGCAAATCAGCGCCTATACATGCCTGGCATAGTTACTACAGCATTATGGGACGTTTTCCGTGTTTTTGTGTGGATGCAAACATTTGTAGAAACGGTGCTGTGTTTAGAAGGATATTTTAAGAAACAATAGTTACTACAGCATTATGGGTCATTTTTGTGTGGATGAAAACATTTGTAGAAACGGTGCTGTGTTTAGAAGGATATTTTAAGAAACGTTAGTTACTACAGCATTATGGGTCATTTTTGTGTGGA